CTATCTTGTGTTATAATGTGATTAATGTGTGATTGACCTATGTGATATAAATTGCCTATTCGCTTATATATGCCATACTTTAATAAGCTTAAATTAAGTTTCTTGGTTACTAAGATTATTTAATTTAACTCTCGTTTGTTAATATCATTACAGGAGACGATATGACTAAGGAAAAGGGGAAGGCGTCGACGCTATAAAACTAAGCTTATCTTCTAAACTCTCTAGTTAATTTATGTGTAATTGAAATTATTTTTTCAATACTAGAGGTTTTTTATATTGACTTATGTTTTTTTGAAGTTCACTTATAATAGTAGCCTTAAACTTTGATTTTAGATATTTTTAAATTGTCTTGACCATAGTAGGTATAACATCCTAAAAATTTAAACTAACACATTAAAATAAATTAGAAATTTATTGAGATTAATGTGGGGTTAAATTTTAAGGACTATATTTTAAGTCATATTTTTAGAAAAAGAAGAAAATAAATGAGGTTAAAAAGAATTAAATTAAATTATTTAAGATATTGTTCCTGCTTAAAATATTATAAATATGTTAATGTTTGAAAAAAAATTATTTGAATAGAATATATAAATTTAATTTAATTCAATATTTTAAATTTTAGAAACTTTAGGAATACATATGTGGGTGTATATAGGATGGGATTTAAGGGGAAAAAATTGAATAAATTAATCGGTTTTGAATATATATATATATATATATATATAACAATTTAGATATGTATAAAAAAAAAGGCCGGGGATCAGATATGTTTTTAAGTGGTGGTTCTTTAGCCCTTCCCCGTTCCATTTCGTTCGGCGTTCCTGAGAAAAGAGGCAGAGCGTTCGCGAAACGTCCGCTGGGGCAGAGACAATTTTAAAGGTTGGGTCATATTATGTGATATTTTTGCTGTGAGTTAAGATTCTCTAAAACTAGATAAATTTTTTAGATGGTTTTTTGAGTTTATTTCTCGATTTTATTTTTAAATTTTTGACAGTGAAAGATCTGAGGTGTTTCATAAATTCAAATTTTTAGTTATTTCGATAGTGAGGGAAGTTCTGGATGTTATAGATAGATGAATTGAGTTGTTGGAAGTAATTTTTATTGCTAAAACAGTGGATATGAATTATTTGGATATTTTATCCAAATTTTTATTAATTTGAGCAAACTCTACGTTGGAATTAAGTAACGTAATATTTTATTAGTGATTAATGGGTCCAATTAGATTTACTAGAGTCTAATAAAGCTAATAAAACTAGTAGATAATAAGGTTATGTAATAAATTAAAATTTAAAATTTTTGAGTAAAATGGGTAGTTAGAAAAATGGTGAAATTAATATTATATTGATATTTTTAAGTTGTTTAATTGTAGAATAAACACTTTTGGGCTCTTGAAGTATTTGGGAGATTGAATTTGGATTGAATCCATGGGTGTCCCTTTTGAGTGACTTAAGAGGTGGAGGTAACCTGGAACCTAAATTCCCTCATATACATGTTTAAGTATTTTTGATATTATAAAAATTATAAAAAATGGTTATTATATGTAAAGATGTTATTTTGATGACTTTGGATAATATGTAAAATGGGTATAAGTTAATTTTTTGAATAATGTGAGTGAAATAAGTAAGATGTGCTTTATTGTAAATCATAAAATGGTTAAGGACTCTTTAGATATAAATTGTGAAATATGATTATGTGGATGGAATTGAGCATGCTGATCATAAATTGTGATTTCTTGACATGTGGAATTGCATTATGGTGTATAATTAAGATTGTGATATATTATGGCATAATTGAAATTTGAAATGGGTGGGAGTTCACTCTAATTAGGAGTTGATTATATTATAAGTCCATGTGACATAAATAACACTTGGGTAGCTCCCAGTGTTGGATAGCTGTGGCATCAACTCCGACAGGAGTTCGGTGTGGTTCCGACTTAGCTGATGATACTCACTTTGAGAGTGGGTATGTGTAAGCGATAATAATTATGACACCTTGCAGGAATTTGATTAGCAAGGGAGTCCATGATTCAGGTTAGGGAGTGGTGATCTTTGGCCGGATTATCCCTCTAAAAATAGAGAGTTTAGGCTAGTCCAATCACACGAATTGGTCCTGTTATGAATTGTAGTCCATGAATTTAGTCAGAAGAGATAAGGAGAAGATAAGGAGGAAAACTAATTGATTATGCATATTTAAAAGTTTTCTCTTAATCTAATATTGTTAGTTACTCCTTTATATGCCTTGATGCTTATGTTTGTATATATTAAAAGTTAGGATTTCTCAATTATTGAGATATTTGTCTCACCCTGTGATTAATATTTTTATGTAACACTTTGGGTATTGGCAAAGGGAAGGATCCGAAGACTTAGAACTAAATTGCCTTGTATAACCTCCTTTGTCTTTGTGCAGTAGGAAATACATACATACATACACACACATATATATATATATATATGTAAATATAAATGGTTTTATTTTTTAATTGGGATCCCTATTTTCAAATAGTTTCCTTTGTCCTTATTTTCAGTAACCATAGTTAAATATATTCTACCATAATAATGGTTAATTAGGGACATTAGCCATAATTAACATTGTTGTAAGGATTAATTAATAAGTAAATTAATATGGGTATTACAGTAGGGTCCCAACCCTTAAATCTACTATGGTAGTGGGCCAATATAGTTTGAATAAGTATATTTTAATAAGTTAAATGAGTTTTATATGTTTTGGGTGATTATTTATCTTGAATGCAAAAGATTACATGTTACCCCATTATTATGTGTCTTATAAAGGTTGAGTGGTTAATTATTGTATTAAGAGTTGTGTGATACTTGTGATTGTTTGGACTGGTATATTAGAATTTATTGAGTGTGGTTCAAGCCCTTGTGTGGACTAATGGCTTATGGTTTGAGATTTGAAAATTTAGTTGATGGTTTAAAGGTAAAAATATGAAGTTTTGGTTTCGGGTGTCCAAATTCTTCATCTAATATCGGATTAATGTGAAACCAAAACTATTAGTTAGATTATAAAATTTTTGACGTGTGGGCACTTGAATCACCTTAATTGAAGGTCCGAATCAAAAGTTATGTGTGTTGAAAGTTCATGGTTGGGAGTTGTTATGATAGATGTTGTCATGAGGTTTTGGCCGCGGCTTAAAGATTGTTGGTCGTGGGCAAAAGGTGGCCAAGAGCATTTAGCTATAGCCAAAAGGGAATTGACTGCAACCAAGTCTTCATTGGAAGTATTGGTGGTGGCTTATTATGCTCTGGACGTAATTAAGTATCCCTGTTAAGTGAAAATGACCCTTTTTACTTTATTTTGACTTATTTTCAATTCTAATTAATATTCATACTTCCCAAATATTTTTTACTCTAATTTATAATGTTTAAATAACCTTCTAAACTTGGTTTTGAGATGAAATAATTAATAAAATCCCATCTCTATAGGATTTTCCTTACTTAAAACTTTTGAGTTTTTATATTGCCAATGTTAATCTTTTTCTTTTCACAATATCTTTTATTATTGATTAAATTAGTTAGAATTATCATAAAAGCTTTACTTGAAGATTAATTTCTGTGCTAGTTATGTGTTTAAATGTTAGAGGTATTATAGTTAGTATTAACTCCATCTGACTCCATTTGACTATCTTTCTGCATTCGCTGTACTTTTTCATACCTTTTCAATTTCCTGATCAATGATATTTAAGGCTTGTTTGTTTTCTATTTTTTTAAAATATTTTTCTTGTTTTTGAAAATAAAAAAATTTAAAAACTTGTTTGAATAAGTATTTTTTATTTAATTGTTTTCAAAATTGTTTTCAATTTTTGTTTTTAAAAACAAAAAATAGACTGTTTTATTTTTCTTATTTTTAAAATACACAAAATTTAATTATTAAAAATCATAATTAGCTTGACTAATTTTTATTATTTATTAATCACAATCATTAATTATGTAATAATCATTATTATCAGTTTATTTTTAATTTTAAAACTGTTTTTAATTGACATAACCAAACATATTTTTAATTTATTTTTTTGGAAAAAATTTTAAAAAATATATTACAAAATAATTTTTAGAAATAAAAATTAAGAATAGAAACTAAACATGCTCTTAATTTTTTTTATTTTTCATAGATTTTTTTGATTTATTGTACTTAATATCAATCAATTCTTATCAATTATCATCTATATATATTATTTGTAAAAAGAAAAAAAGAAAATAAAAAGAAGTTTAAGCTTGATTTGGATCATCAATCATTATCTCGTGATCTTGACTCTTCAAAATGTGCATATTTTATCATACATTTTGTGCTGATAAGATAACGTAGTGACTACTTAAATACTCTAAATATGCAAAACTTGAGTCGTAGAGAAATATTTTTGGTTGTCCTTTTGTTTTGCATATAAAAAGAACGAATATGAATCATAAAATACAAAAGAATAGAATATATTTTAAAAGAAAAGAGATTTCAATTCTCTCTTATATCCATATTTTTAAAAATACAATTTATGTGTCATAATTCATAAATTGGTGTCTAATTTTTTTACATAATTGAGAATGAGTTATTAAGAATTTTAAAGGAGTATTTTTTTTGGGTCAATATTTTCTAAGAATTCTAAGAATAGATATTTTTTAGACAAATTTTTTATTATAAACTTGAGAAATAAAAATAAAATATGTATAAATGAAGTATTAAAAAGATGATTGAATAAAAAACATTCCAAAAAATTAATCATTTCAAATACATTGATATTAATAATATTAATAATATTTATTTTAAATTTTTTAATTTATATTTATTTTAAATTTTTTAATTTCAACCCGTGTAGTCCACCAAAAATTGTCTAGTTATTTATCAATTCTTGCGGTTCATTAGAAAGTGCCTGTAATAGGAACGAGAGAATATTAATTAATTAATTAATTATTCAGTCACTTCCTTGCTTGTTTGACCGGCAATCACCCCACTACTGGCCCTACTGCGCCTTTCTCCTACCCGCTCAGCATTTCACGCCTCACTCTTCACTTCATGTCTCACCCTCTCTCTTCCCCTCTGCAACTATGGCTAGTCTTTCACTCAACTTCTACCTCCTTCTCTCCCTTCCTTGCTTTTTCACCGGCGCCGCTCCTTATTCCATCGGCGTCAACTACGGCACCGTTGCCGACAACCTTCCGCCTCCGACTCGCGTCGCTGCCTTCCTCAAGTCCCAAACCAACATCGACCGCGTGAAAATCTTCGATGCCAACCCCGACATTCTTCGCGCCTTCGCCAACACCAGCATTGCCGTCACCGTCACCGTCGGAAACGACGATATCCCTTCCCTTTCCAAGCTATCCGCTGCTCAGTCCTGGGTGGCCGACAACATCCTCCCATTTCACCCCAAAACCACTATCAACCGTATCGCCGTCGGCAACGAGATCATCGCCACCTCCGATAAGTCCTTAATCGCTCATCTCTTACCCGCCATGAAAGCTCTCCATTTAGCTTTAATCCTCGCAAACGTGACCAACGTCCAAGTCTCCACGCCTCACTCGTTGGGGATTCTCTCCTCGTCGGATCCACCAAGCTTGGGTCGGTTCCGACGCGGTTACGACCGGGCCATATTCGCCCCGATTCTTGATTTTCATAGGCAGACCAAATCTCCGTTCATGGTTAACCCGTACCCGTTCTTCGGGCTCCAAGACGCCCAACCCGAAGCGCTGAACTACGCTCTGTTTAAACCAAACGGCGGCGTTTTTGATCAGTTTACGGGGAATAACTACACCAACATGTTTGATGCACAGATGGACGCAGTTTTTTCGGCGATGAAGAAAGCGGGATACGAAGACATAGAGATCGTGGTGGCGGAAACGGGTTGGCCGTCGGCGGGTGACCCGAACCAACCGGCGGCGAGTGTGGACAATGCGATGTCGTATAATGGGAATCTCATAAAGCATGTGAACTCTGGGAAGGGGACGCCGTTGATGCCAAACAGGACCTTTGAGACTTATATCTTCGCTTTGTTCAACGAGGACCTCAAGTTCAGTGTTTCAGAGCGCAACTATGGGTTGTTCAATCCCCATTTTGCCCCCGTCTACGACGTTGGTGTTCTCAAACATGTACAGGTAATCTCCTAAATTTTAGGCTTCTTGGAGTTTGTAAATTAGAAACCGATGCTTTGCGAAATCCAGCTGTTGTTTCAGTTTCGACTTTGAAGCTTGATCTGAACAACTGTTCCTAAAACCGTACAGGACCAGTCAGTCTGACCAGTTAAACTGAGAACTGATTATAAATCCGGTCACATTACACTTAAAAATTTTCTTGCTCTGCGAACGGCTCATGAATCGATTGAGCCGGCTACCAATTGGTCAAAACTGATGACACTGGTAAAAATCCGGTTGAACTGACCATGATATTTTTTTTATTTTTAATTTATATTTTAAAAATATAATTTATACATATTTATATTTAATAAGTATGATGAAATGAAAAAAATATGAGAAATATTTATAAATTATATATATGAGAAATATTTAAAGTTATAAACTATAAATTATGAAATAATTATATATATTTTAAATGAAAATGATATCGTAAATTATAAACTATCTTATTTAAAATTTAAATATTTATTTTTCTTATTATATGTAATTATTTTTTTTATTTTAAATATATAATATTTAAAATATATTAATTTATTTATGATCAATCTTGTTTTCATAATATTGATTTGAACACATAATTTGTTATCTACAAAAAAAAAAATCAGATGCTTCTTTTATGCTATATTCGAAGACCAAGGTACCTTTTAATTTATTTTATTTACTAATTGTCTTATATTTTTAGAAATAAAAAGTTTTATGTGTTTATAAATTAGGGAGGTTGAGAATTATTGTTGTTCCTGCTATATATATATATAAAGATCATAAATAACTTTCAAAGTTCTTTTTATTATCATTCTAATATTAAAAATAATATATTTTGTCATTTTTTAATATTTTTTATTATATAAAGATTATTTTTATTTCCTAACTTTTAATCAAATGGTCAATCCTACTTTTAATATAAATATTTTATAATAAAAAATATTAAAAAATGTAATGTGAGATTGATCAATTAATTATAAAAAATTAATATAGTAACAGGAATAGAAGTTTTTAAAATTAAAAAATAAAATTAATTTATAATTGAATTTAAAGATAAAAATATTTTTAATCTTATAATTTATATCCGTAAATATTTGTCTATAAAAATATATACATAAATATTTTTAATTTAGAGACATTTTTTCAATCTTTTATTCAATATAGAAATTTTTTTTTTTAAAAGTCGATCTTAGTCTCAGAAGAAGGAGAAATTTGAAACATTTTTATGTTAATTTATTTATTTTTATTTTTTTTTGAAGGGCAGTTTCGTTATTTGATAACGCTTTCCATTTACGGGGAAGCGAGAAAGCTTTTCAGTGCGCAAAAAGTCAAAAAGCTAGCAAGCCTTTTGCACTGCTTATTTGCAGATTACACGATCGTTTTTCTGAATGCCAAAACTCAAAATTGCTTGTTATTCAAAGCTTTATTTGAGGACTATTGTCGGAGCTTCTGGACTAGTCTGTGTTTAAGACCCACTCCCTCTCCCTTTATCCCGTATATAAAATATTCTTAATTAAATTACGTAAATTAAAAAAATTAATTATTTAATTAAAAGTAAAATAATATTTTAATTTTATTCTTAATTATTATAAATAAAAAAATAATTTTTTAAAAATAAGTTAATGAAAATATTTATTTTTTCTAATTTAATAAATGTATAATAGTCTATTTATTAAAAATATGTTAATAACCTTTGACAAAAAATTTTAAAATTTTTTTTATATATAAAGATAGAGGGAGTATATGTTAATATATAATGATTAAGGAATTAAGACTTATATGTTAATATATAAGTTACTCTGGTAACGATTAATAATTATTTATCTAAAATATTGTTAAAAGTATATTAAAGTTGTTTATTTCCTACCTAATAAATAATCAATATTGATAATATTAGAAGGATAATTTAAAAAAATATAAAATCTTAGTCACAGAATTATTTTTTACTGGATTAAGTATTTTAATTATTAATACCTTGCATTTAATTTGTAGTATTATGTAATTTTTCCCCTAAAAGAACCTTGTAGGACATAATTTTAAAAAATGCCTTTTCTTTTAGCGGATTATTAGTGTTTAGACTTTAGAGCCCATCCATCAGAATGTCGAAGTGTGACGACCAGGCACAGGGGGTTATAAAGTGGGGTTTTCATTCTGTACAGGCATCGCATCCTACATCCGGTACACCATTGATGGCACCATTGCCGGATTCACAGATGAAGTGGTGTGTGGCAAAAACGAACATGAGCGATGAGGCGTTGCAGAGGAACATAGACTATGTGTGCGGGAAAGGAATAGACTGTGGGCCCATAAAGAAAGGTGGGCCATGCTTTAAGCCCGATATTGTAAGGTCGCACGCACTTTATGCGATGAATGCCTATTATCGGGCCTTCGGGCGCCACGACTCCGATTGTGATTTCTCCGGGACCGGCGTGCTCACTACCACTGACCCTAGTAAGTCTTTTTTTTTTTTTAATAATCATTATTGATTTTTTATATTTATGTTTTAAATTATTTTCTTAAAATATTTCACATTAAATTATTCAATTCTTTTTAAGTTTTGTTAACATTTATTAAGGTTATGCTGACTTTTTCCACAACTAATGAGGAGAATAATTTATGCAGTTTTTTTAGTTTTGTTAAACGTATGCAAACTTCTTATCTTTCTTTGAAATATTCATAGATTTCGTTGGATAATGAAGGGAATATCAAGTGTAATATAAATAAAATATAAGGAAATGTATGCAATATATGTTTTATTTTTAAAAGAAAATTTGTATAATTTTTATAAAGGAATGTTTATGTAATTTTAGAAAATTAACTATAATATAATTTATTGTTTTCTTTTATGGAAGAACCTTGTAAAATTTATTAACAGGGAGATGGCCTGTATTAAGTAAATTTTATAAGTTCGGGTGATCTCTTGTATATTTTATTCGATAGTATTTTGTTCAGAAATAAATTATTATTTTCATCCCATAATTATAATCAGCGATTAGTACTTTAGTTAAATTTTTATAATTTGATCTGTTTCTAATGTTTTTATCATATTATATATTTTTCTGTCCTGAAAAAGATTATATTGCATAAATTATTTTTATCTAATACAATCCCTCCAACTCCAACTCTATTTATAATTTATTATTAATATTTTTAATCAAAATTTAAAAAAATTTGAAGTCATTGATCATGTTAAAATGATTTTACTTTTTTCATATTTAAAGGAGTGAGGAAGGAGCTCAATAGGATTTTCATTTTTCAATAATGTAAACTAACATTTAATGAGGATAAATAAGAAAGCTTGTGATAAAAATAATTGATGACATGTCTTATATTTTCTCTAGATCATAATATGAAAAGCTGGTAACAACTTTTCGGTTCTAAACAAAGTTCTGTAAAATTTTATTTTAATTTTTTAAAAAATTGTACCTTTTCAATTATACTCATTAAATATCCTATCTAAGTATCTTAATAATGATAACTGAAATTAAAATTTTAAAGTATCATGTTTTTTAAAAAAATATAATAACTGAAATGAGATTATAGTTAAAAAATAATTATAAAAATTATTTAATGTCATATATTATAAATCAAACAATAATTAGGAGAAAAATAATTTCTTGCAAGGATCAGATTAAATTAAATTGCAGTAAATTAGCTATGAAAGATCTGCCCACTTGGGGGGCATACTTTATATTGTTCGTAGTATTAAGGATGTGTTTGGTTGAAAAATTTAAAAAAGGAGGACCCTTATTTGATTAAGAAATCTTGAAAGGGAGGCTAGTTAAAATAACCCCTCCTCTCATATTGTTTCTTTTTAAATTGAGGTTTTTTTAGAAGGGTGCTAATGTTTTTGATTATTTTATCCTTATTTATTTTTTAATATTCTAAGCATGCTCATAGTAAAAAAAAAAAAGTTTTTCTTCATATCAGATTGTGTTTTATTCTCAAATACCGGTTGACCTCATTGAATTTTTTTAAAATAACAAATTCATTATATTTTATTATATGTTTAAGGGAGTTATTTATTTTTTATAAAAAATTGTTATCATTATAATTATTAGTTTAATTATTTTTTTATTTACATATTGACAATATGATAGGATGATGGTGAATTTTTAAAAAATCATGTAATTTAAATTGAGATTTAAAATTATGTTCTACAAGAAACAATTAAAAAAATTTAAAATAATGTATAAGGATATAATAGTAAATTAGTTATTACTTTTTCTTCCCTCCTATACCAAACAAAGGATAATTAAAAACCCCTCTTCTCTCCTCCCCTCTAATAAAATTAAATAAGATAATATTAAAATTTTTTTCTCTTTTTGAACTAAGCACACTTTAGTCCTCATACTTAAAAAAAAAACAATGATTAAAATAAATATAAATATAAATATATTTAATTAAATAAAAAGAGGAGAAATTAAATTGGGATGGTGGTGGTAACTGCAGGTTACAAGACATGTTCGTATTCTGGAGCAACGAGTGGAGAAAAGGTGGGCGAACCTTCACAGGCAGAGACAGGTGGCACTGTGAGGCTGGGAAGCACCACTTGCGTTCTCACCCATAACAGTGGCTTAGTCTTGGTCTCCAATGTAGTACTTCTATTCCTGCTACACTTTTACATGCTCTCTTAATCATTATCGTTGTTATCTGAACTTTGAATGGAATTGTCATGTGATTGTGATTCGACACAGCGACGGTATTATTTTAAACTAGAAATTGAAGAGAAAAGTCCAATTTAGGGGCAGTATTTATTCAAATTTTAACCTAAAAATATATATTTTAAATTAATAATATTTCTTTCAGCAGATAAGATGGCTTTAATTATGCATGTTAGTTTTTTATTAATGAATATCCATTCAAATTTTTAACAATAAATTATTTTAAATTTATAACATTATATTCGTGATTTAATAAGTTAAAAAAATAAATAAGATGAGTTTAATTGTACACATATTAATCTTTCATTAACGAGTATATATTTAAGTTTTCACAATTAGTTATTTAAAATTAATAATAATTTATTCAGGTTTTAATAAGTAAGAACAACTAATAGGATAAGCTTAATTATACATGTTAGTTCTTTTTTAATAAGTATTTATTTGTGTTTTGACAATAATTTATTAGTGATTATTAATATATTCGTACATTTAATAAGTAAAATGTACGAAATTTTAAAACTCTCAATTTGTAATTGTTTATGTTAAATCAGCAAGTAATATTAACAATATAATAAGTGCAGTTGATGAATTAATAACATATCGTTATGTTATAATATGAAAGTAGATAAAAGTTTGGTTTACTACTTATATATTTTTGGCATATATAATTAAAGGGCTTGATAACTTTTTAGGTGGCCAAGGGGTCATGGGATCAAATACTCTCTTGACTACCTAAACCAAATATTCCCTGGATAAAATTGTTGCTAGTGCTAGAGTTTCAATGGTTGGCAGTCAATGATCTTGTCCGTGGTAGAAGCTATGATGACCTCACTCTCGATAGAGGTTTGGCAGTAGTCTAACAGCCAACAACAGCGAGGAGTAGCTTTTTTTAACTTTGGGGGCAATTTAGTCTTTTAACTTTACAAATTAATATCAATCAAGGACTAAGGAATTGGATTGTAAGTTTAAAGCCAATTGATTCTTGATTGATGTTAATTTGATATTGAGGTCTTTGGTTGTTATTTTTCCCATAAAATAATGATGGAGTTGGCTTTTCTCTTTCCACTAATCCATCCACCCAACCTCTTCCTATCTTCTTTGCCTTTGGATGTCAATTTTAATGATTGAAGATGTAATGTATCTTAAGAAAAAAATATTTTATATTGTATTCCTAATTTGTTTAGGTCAAATTTTAATATATGAAATTTATTTATTCATTATTTAATATAATAATAGTTTTATCACATATTAAATTTCAATCATTAAAGTTGAGATATAAGGGTGTAGAAGTTAGGAAGAGGAAAGCCAACTCCAATAGCAATAACCATATAGCTAGTAACTTGGATTAGTTCCAATAAGCTCCAAAAAAGTTAGAGTTATGCTTAATAAAATAACATATTTTTAATGCTTGGGTTTGTTTGAATATGCCTGAAAAAATTGGGCTAAGAACAAATATCCAAACAGCACTTTAATTTTTAATACACATAATATTGATTATTAATTAAGTCTTGGGGGAATGGCATTAAGGGCTTTAAAAATAAATTTATTGCAATTTAGGTCTAAATAAATTTGATATTGTTCTGAGGCCTTGGGGCCCTTATTGCAATATTTCTTCATATCAAAAATATAATTTTTTTTCTCTGTTTGATTTGAATTCAAAACCTGTATGAACCCTTAAAACAATGAAATAGACTATGCACGACATAATATCTACTATGCATAAGATGATGCCCATGCATGTTTAACAGAAAGTTCATGCATTTTGGGTATTTTACTAGTCTAGGCTTTAACAAAAATGACAAGTTAGGCAGATCATGCACGATACAACATTCACTATGTAATAGACGATGTCCATACATGCTTAATAGAAAGTCTATACATTTTGAATATTTCACTAGCTTAGGCTCAACAAAATGACAAGTTAGATAGACCATGCATGACACAACGTCCATTATCATGCATACTCAATAGAAAGTCTATGCATTTTTAGTATTTCTGTAACACACCAAATTTTCTTTTTTTAAATAATTTAACTCAACCATAGTTGGGTTACAGCCACCCAACACATTTTTATATCAATAATTTCAATATAAAATATTTTATAATTGGCTTCAACTCACACACTATAACATTTCGGATAAATTGTTACCTCCCACATGCTATTAGGCTAAATCACATTTGTCCATCCTTATACTCCCAACAAGTAAACTAAATTACATTTGTCCATCTTATACTCCCAACAAGTAAAATAAGCAATTTAGTCAATTTTCAACACAAGCCATTATTTGGCCTTATAATCATGCCATTTTAACCAATCCAAAGTAAACCAAATATTAAAATTACAGTCATCCAAATTGTACCAAAAATAGAAATAGTTTGAAAGGTATGATTACATTTATATATTCATATAATTGACAATAAACAAAAAAGCCCTAATATTGACAATATAACACATTATAAATCATAAATCAAATACCCAAAAGAGACAGTGGATTATGCCACTAAGCCTCTGGGACTCTTCCACGTGTCACTCGTGGCTCTTCTCCTGAAAATTGTTAACCACATAATGAGACTCAAAAGTCCAGTAACCAAAGCCAATTTATGATAGTGTATACAAACAGTTAAGTGTGTGCTTACTAAGTGAGAATTAAAAATAATATAATTCCAACAAATAAGAAATATCACAATACACACAAACAACCATCCTTATATCCCTCCATTAACCTCGAGCCATAGCCCTCACTCGGTGCTAAATTACCCGGCCAAAGGTAGATTAGCCCGAGCCCTTACAAGCCACCTATTGAGCTCCAATAGGGGCGTACCACGTGGCACATAAATACAACAACAATAGCAAGTCTCCCAACACCTCCCACAATAATCAAACAAATTCATAATAATATTGCACAATTATACAATATTACAAAATTCATAATTTTCTCAATAATCACCCAATTAACATGAAGTAACACTAATCACAAATTAAAAGCATGGTTACCTTGTGGCTTTTTCAATAAATTATTCCTTAAAATTTCTCTCTTACCACAATCTTCACCAGTAATACAATCTACAAATAGCATATTATTTATAAATATTAGTTTCAATTTTTGAAACTAATAAAATAATTCTAATAATAGAATTAAAAATATAACATAATTCCTAATCTCAATCTTAATACAAATCTATAGTTAATACTATTAAGTAAAATTTTTAACTCCTCTTTTAATTATCAATAAACATTAATAATCTAAAAATCAAATTTTAAACTAATTTCTATTATCAAAATTTTCTTTTTATTTTATAAATTCGCACCTAAAATACCCATAAATTAAAAATTGAGTCTCTAGCTTAGAATCATAATCCTATAGCCATAATAATTCATTTCTCATCCCAAATAATCATCTAAACCTCAATAAATCAACATATATTTTCAGATCTAGTTTAGAATTTGATCCATAAGCCATAAATTCAAAGATCATCAACAAATTTATACTCTAGAACATTTATTATACTACTGACAACCTCAAAAACCATATTTATTCAACATAAATTCATCCCTCTTCCAGATCTTAAATTTTCTACCACTACAAACTCAGAAATCAAAGAAGAAGGATGACTAAGAAAAATTTTTAGAACACTTACTTAGTCTTGAAAAGCTTAAAATCACACCCTAAATATCCTATTAAAAACTCTTACCTTAAAAATTTAGATATTTCGCACTGGTGACTCGCGTTCTCTCTGCCTCAGCGTGCACGAAGGAATGAATGAAGAAACAAAGGAACAGGTGAGTTTTTATAAAAATTCAATGGGTCCCACATCTTTTTTTTAATTATTTCTTCTTTTCTCTCTCTCCCTTTTTTTTATATTATTATTATATACAATGATTGCACGGACGATGAAAAAGGAAGCCAAACTTTCTTCTTCTTCTTCGTTTTCTTTTTTTTAATACCTTTTCTTTTTTTATTATAATAATAATAATTTAATAATATTTATTTTTTTATTTTTATTTTTAATTTATAATTATATCCTAAGTTAGATTTAATAATCATCTCCTACTAATTTGCTTACCTCTAAATATTTTTTTAAAATTTTTATTAACCCAAATTAACTATTAAAATTTAAATTGGGATGTTACAATTTCACTAGCCAAGCTCAATAAAAGAGACAAGTTAGGCAGACCATGCATGACACATTATCCACTATATATAAACGATGTCCACACATGCTTAATAGAAAGTCTGTACATTTTTAATATTAAGAAGGACAATTACATCAAATATGAATAATTTCATATTGATACTGGCTTGGGTACTAAAACAAGTACCCACATGAAATTTGACATGATATTTCAAGTTTGATATATACAGAAAGCTAGCCACTATATCCAAAACATCTAACAATTACTTTATATACAAATAAAAAATATTTATGATTCCCAATTATCCTAAAAATATTACTTGAAAATGCTTCCATATATAGAATTATAATTGCCTATGTACATCAAAAAGGAATAATGTGACTACTTCTCATGTTGGGTCAGGATTCTTCTTTGTCTCGCGATTGTGTCCGACTTCCCCACATCTTGAACAATGATAAATATTCTTTTATTTTAATCTATAATGAAAAAATAATCTAGGTAAATGTCCATATATAAAGCCCAGCTTTTATTTTATGCAACTCAAAGTTCAATATAAATAATTTAAAGTTCATTTTTGCACATCAGATATTCCAATGTCTTTGATAGTAGATTTTCTTTACATTGAGAGTCTAATTTTATTCAATTCACATGTCAAAGTCTAATATGAACAAGTCAACCATCATTATTGTACAACAACTAATTCACTTTAAAAATTTCATAGCTAACTTAATGATTTAGCAACCTTTAGCTTATATCAGTAGGTTAGATTTAACAAAATGCACAAGTAAGTAAACAATGTATAACATAATATCTATTATGTGCAACACAAGGTTCATATATTTTTAACCAAAAATCCATACAATTCTACTTATCAATAGGCTAAGCTTAATAAAAT